ACATTTACTATGCGTATTAGTTGATAAATTTGTGCTTGGGAATGGAAAATCTGAGAGTGATAATAAACCCCAAATTTTGCATTATTCTGGCAAACTAAAATCTCTGCTTACAATGAAGAAGGTTTAAGAAAAGGAGAAAAAAGTAAAATCATGGAGATATAGCTTTTATGAAGTTAAAAAGATTTTAGAGATCAAATGTTATGACAATCTCAATTTATAAATAAGTTACTGGAGCCCAGAGAAATAGGTGACTTTCCCACGTCAGCTAAATTAGTGACAGGAGAACACAGAGCTCCTGGCTTAGAATCTGGTGTTCCTTTCAGTGCTATTAAACATATAATGGGCTGGAATTATAATAGATTCTGAATTTACAAAGAGAATTACAAGTTCCAATGATTAATGTGGCTTTGGAATACTTTATAATGATATTTACTTTAAAGTCAGATAGTAAGGGGTTGAGGGTGGGTAAACTCCCAACTAATGGACACAGTGAGCATTGCGGGGGGGAAGGACACATCTCAAATCATGGTTGGGATGTGGCAAAGTCATAACATGTAACCAAAATGTTTGTACCCCCATAATTTCCTGAAAAAAAGTCAGATAGAAAATACTAATTTTTATTGCAGTAAATACTATATGAAGTACTTACTTCAAATAGAAATCTACATGAAGCTTTTACCATTACTATTATAATTCATATGAGATATTTTTCTCCATTTCCTTCATTCTCTTCATTCGCTTGAGTGCACTGCAGCTTTTCTTCACGTTTCTCTTTACAAAGGTGGTACAAGGTGAGTGTTTTTGGGTCGCTTTTCTGACTCAATGTCTTCTGTATCATCTGTCATTCTTCCTGGGCCCCCACCATTGTGAGTTCACTCTTCCAAATCCTTGAGAAGGTCTACGGGATTGCTCTCCACGTTGCTAGCTAGGAGAAGAAGTGGGAATGAGAAAACAAGAGCAAGAAGGAAGTTTAGGAGGACAAGCCTGAAGAGGTATCTGAGTTGTGAGACAAATCAAAAGAAGAGAGAAGACAAGCTCTGTACACCCCTGTGAAGCCTCCAAGACAAATACTTCTGGTTGACTACGTTGTAAAGAACCTATCCTGGGGGCGATAAGGGATGAGCATGAGAATCAACAACCTCGAAACTCCTCATGGGAACCGAGATCGGACTCAATGAGAACACTTTCTATGGGAGGTTGCTTCACTAATTTGCAGCAGAGAAATAAGAAGGGAACAGGACATTCTCACACTTGTTTAATCTCCTCTAAAATCTGCTTTTGTTCAACATTTGGACTCCACTGAGTTCCTTTGATATTGAAATCTCTTCCAGGGTTCATTGGTTTTTTAAAAAACTTTGTATATATTAGTGATCTCATTAATTTAAATACAGAAAGCTGTGACCTGAGAATGAGAATAAATTATAGAGTATTCATAAAATCTTCATTTTTCACTATGCCATACCAATGACCTGGTAGAGTTTAGAATTGAGGGATGATGTTCAAGTTTGAAAGATTGAGTATAGCTTGATTGGGAGAAAGAACAAAGCTTCCCCCATCACCTCAAAAGAGAGGCCTCAGCGTATAATATAAAGAATACAGAGCTAGGCAGAAATCTTCTTTGAATCTCTGATTTATACTTATTATGTGGTTTGAATAAATTACAAAAAACTTTATGTGAATTTCTTTGAAGTTCATGGTTGTTTCACCTGGGTTAACCGTAGTTAATGCCATATCTCTAATATTTCAGACAGACTAGAAAGTTAGCTTAACCATAACTTGATCAAAGACATGAGACAAATGCCTTAAAGCCTTATCATTTGACATGACACTATAAATAATTGAGATTCCATGATTGGTATTTTAAAAATTGATTTATTCTATTTTCCTCAATTTTGACTGTAACAAAGGCAAGCTCAACTTATTTCCCATCACCCAGTTTAAAATGCTCTTTTCAACGGTCACCATGAATAAAGCTGATAACTTCCATTTGATATGTGACTGAATGTTTGTTTGATGAAGGTCAAATACACCGAGTAGGCCCATTGGCCTTCAGATATCTCTTCTATTAACCTGAAAGAATGTCGGAAATTCTACTTGCAGAGATGATAGTTTGGGTTAAAGCTGTTTCAATGATATGTTCAAAATTTTTGGAAAGAAAACGTGTAAGGGTATCATCAGACAATGATTATGTTGCAAAGTGGTCGAGTAATTCATTCAGCAAATATATACAGAATACAGTGTCTATCTGCGAGACCCTGCAGAGTTGAGGTGTTAGAGTAAACAAAAGCAAACGCCCTCTTTGCTTTCTGGAGCTTGTGGTTTTTCTGGAGGAGACAAATACTCAAACAATTAGGCTAATAAGTGTATGATACACCAATGTAAGTTTTCACAAGAAAAAGAGTTCTGTTTTACAAAGAAATGTGGCCTAGACTTGGGAGTTAGGGAAGGTTTTCTTGAGATAGTGACCCTAAAACTGAGAATGGAAAAATGA